TCACTGATTTTTTAGCTTAATGCAAGCGAACTATAACGTACGAAATAGCTATACTGATTTAGGGGCCGACCATTTAACTTTTGAGGGGTGAGGGGGGGGGGGAGGTGATTTACTGCTGGCAGGGAATTTTTTTCTGGGATCGTTATGTGCAAGATTTTTTTTATCCCATCACCATGTACGAATTTTTTTGCCACACTTTCTTTCGCAGCATTTTTTTTCAATAGCTGATACTATTTAGATTCTTTAATTATAGTTAACGTTGAGTTTTCTAGCTTCATGCGTTGCTCTTAATAATACACATTGCAATTGATGCATGTTAACTTTCAGATTTTTATCTGAAAGTTAATTCTGAAAAGCTCACTGGGAGAATTAATAAAGTATAATAGTAATATAACAATACTGTCAATATAATAATAATAATAATAATAATAATAATAATAATAATTGTATCAATTTAACCGTTTTTGTAGTGTTTTTTTGCTATCTACAATTTATATCTATACCATGAAGCCTCAGCAAGGTTATCTTTTCCATTTATAGTCCAGCTGCATGCTATAACAAATTGTTCGATTCGTAAAAACACTCTGTATTATTTCCATGTACACGTATATATAAAGGCGTCTTTCGCGACGATTGCGACGGCTGCGCCGGTTGCAACCACACTCTGTATTAAATATATACAAGTATATTAAGGCGTTTTTCGCGACCATTGCGACGGCTGCGCCGGTTGCAACCACACTCTGTATTAAATATATACAAGTATATAAAGGCGTCTTTCGCGACCATTGCGACGGCTGCGCCGGTTGCAACCACACTCTGTATTAAATATATACAAGTATATTAAGGCGTCTTTCGCGACCATTGCGACGGCTGCGCCGGTTGCAACCACACTCTGTATTAATTATATACAAGTATAATAAGGCGTCTTTCGCGACCATTGCGACGGCTGCGCCGGTTGCAACCACACTCTGTATTAAATATATACAAGTATATTATGGCGTCTTTCGCGACCATTGCGACGGCTGCGCCGGTTGCAACCACACTCTGTATTAAATATATACAAGTATATTAAGGCGTCTTTCGCGACCATTGCGATGGCTGCGCCGGTTGCAACCACACTCTGTATTAAATATATACAAGTATATTAAGGCGTCTTTCGCGACCATTGCGACGGCTGCGCCGGTTGCAACCACAGTTGCATAAGAGAGAAGCGTGAAATATTATTTTCTCGGCCTAAACAACGTTTATTTTTTAATAGTTCAAAAATTAACGTTTTGAAAAATTGAATTTTAAATTTTAATTAAGCAGCCAATCAGAACGCTCCTTCTGAGCCTTGCATACTGACTCGATTATTTTGAGCGGCTTTTGTCTTTCAAAGGCGACAAATAACTAGAATAGAAGTCAATTTTGAAATCAATTTTCCATCCGTAAACACAACTTTTCACGCTGATTCGAACAGTGGTATTTTTGTCCTTGTTTTTGACGCATATAACCAGAGATAAAGCTGAGCAAACAGTCGATCATCATGAGAGTACACGATTAATAATAATAAAAATTCCGAGCACGTGCAAGGAATTTTTGGTACGCGATTAAGGAAACGTATTGATGCGAACAAACTAACACACAAACAAACTCAGGCCCGGTTTAGACTTTAGACGCCGTGCTTTTCATGAGCCGAACTTAATACAATGAATTAAGCACATGAGAAGCACGGCGTCTAAATCAATTAAGCACTGCACTTAATATTAAGCACGGCTAAATTAATAAGTTCGCCTGGTTCAGGCGTGCTACACGGCTGAAGCACATGTTGATTTATACTGCCGTGCTTCACATGAGCCGTACCAAATGCATAAATTATGATAAAATAGAACATTTATAGTACGCGTGCGTTGATTGGTCGAGAAGCGTGTTTCTACGCGGGAAATTTCCCGCCTAAATTTAGAATGGTAAACAAAACAATTAAGAATTTTTTAATACAGTCAAAATACAAAAACCTTCCCACTTCCGGCTTGTTTTGTATTTCTGTAATTTGTTCTATTTTTTCTGTAGTGATTTAATACCGCTTTATCGGCAAATATCGCGGTAGAATTTCCCTTTCTTTTCTTTATATACGTCAATTTGTAGCAAAGGATACATCTTTCGTTAGACTCTTTGCATAAAAGTTGCGAAATTAGGCTTATAGGCCTTATAGGAGGGCCCTGAAGGGGTAAAATGGGAACTGGGATTGATCTATTTTTAGACTGGGAAAATGGGATTTGGGTTGCTGGGACTGGGATTTGGCCACTGGGAATGGGAAACGAAGTCCTCAAAAATGGGAATGGGGTTGAGGTAATGCCAGTCAATTCTCAATTTTTCTACGTTTCAAGTATTTTAAAATACAATTTTGATCCGTTTTTGGTGTCTTTGGTCATGATTTTTGTTATTAACTATATTATTAACAGCACTACCTGCAAACAGGCATACTCTGGCGCCCGGAATTCTGGGTTTTCTGATTATGCGTCTCTCAGAATGCTGCAAATGCCATTTCCGGGATTCAAATTTAAAAAATTTCCGTGCCTTGGGCACGAGCCCCCTCCCCAATATTTCATAAAGTGTCCGCCACTTGCACACACGGTGGCTTAAAAGGTCTTAAAACTGTTTATTCTACCGATAAATAAAGGGGTTTTTATTGACTGGGATTTCAATAACTCGGACTGGGATTTCTAATAAAAATCCAACTGGGACTGGGATTTTGCCAAAATTTCAGGTGAAAAATGGGATTGGGACC